TATGCCGCCCAATCCCGAAGGACTCCGGGCGGCTTACAGAAATGAAGGATGGAATTTTTGGTATTAAATATTATGGATGTTCAGCTAAAACAGGATATGAGGATTTGATGTTAATGGAGGATTTTATAAACAAGTAAATGAAATGCCAGCATGTGGTTATGGATTAAATCTTTGGCATAGTTAAGGATGAAGGATGTTTAAACAACTGTAGTCAACTAAAAGTGGAGGTATGATGATGTTAATATGGTAAACATTTGAGTTAAGATATTTGAATTAATATGAATTAATGGAAGAGATGCACAAAAACTTGTAACCAGCTGATATACTTTTTTATAACGTATACTTGTGGTTTGTTTTTTTTCCTCTGTCTTGTTTTTTGTTTTTTGTTTTGTTTTGATTCCCCGCCCCCCCACTGTTGTGGGCATGTGTTGTTTATGTAACAAAAAAATAAAAAAAATATTTAAAAAAAAACAAAAGCAATCCATTTTAACAAATCCTATTGATCCATTTATTCTGTTTTAGAAACTAGATAAAGGAAAACATTCAAAGAGAACTTGTATATGCCCATTTAATACATTGTTAACTTTAAAATGAAATGCTGTTGGTATATTATTTAACGTAAAATTGTAAACAGAAACATTATGATGCTTATTTCTTTAAAAATATATAAATCTTACTAGATTGTTATAGTTGCTACTTGTTGTTGGTATTTTTATTCTTTTGTGTTAGAGGTAACAGCTATGTTATTAGTTTCAGTAGTGTTTTGTTCCTTATTCAGAACGCCAAATAAATTCTAAGGCTGTGTTTCTCATACTTGGCAGCTTTAATGGGTATTTTGACTAGGGAATTTTGGAGTTGAAGTCCACATGTCCTAAAGTTGCAATGTTTGAGAAATACTATTCTAGAGCAAAACAAAAAGGATCATACAATGAAATGTAATCTCATAGAAATATGAGGTTCTTCCCTTCTGCCTTTTGGTGATAGAAGAAAAAAGTTAGTTTCTTATAAATATACATATCACTGTTTATATGTCATAGTGATAGGTTAGATCAACATGTTCTATTATAATTGTAAAATATAGTCTATTTTTCATGCTTTCTATTGTGTAAAGTTATAAAGAAGAGCCACTATTTCTATTAAAATTTCTACACACCCACATATGTTTATAAGAAATTATACTGTAGTTCAGTCCTCCCAAGCCCTGCAATTTCTTTTTCCTAATCATAGCAGCAACATCAACCCAATATTTCTAATACTTTATTGTCTTCCCTGACAATATATAAATGATTTGTTTAAAAATTTTCAAGAATTATAATTTAATAACAGAGTTGGAAGGGATCTGGCAGGTCTTTCATCCACTTCCCTTTTCAGGCAGGAAACACTACATCACTTCAGATATTAAGTAAAAGTACCAGCAAGTGACAAATAGCAATAGCAATGTGTATTATGTGCTAGTATATGGCATAAAATATTTAACAGCTGACATGATAAAACGCCTCATGAAATAAAGTAATTTGAATAACTATATTTAAGTAATAATGTCTCTTGTTATATTTAATTTCTGTGTGGGAAAACATAGTTTCCAGATTGTTTTACTGATGGCATTTTAGATTTTGGCAAATTCATTCTTTTATGACAGTAAAAATAATTAGGTCTATCTGGCTCAAAAATTGCATGTCTCTCAGAGACATCGTACACTACCTCCAT